GCAACCACAGGCCTCAGATTTGAGGTAGTCCATACATAAACTCAAAAGATGCTTGCTTATTTTAATGACAGTGCAAGATGCAACATTTAGGCTTTTAAAGTTTTCAATCAAACTACAGCAAAGAATGGCAGTAAATAAGCCACAGTCACTGAAGCGGCATATGTGGTTCTGTACAGAGGCCATCAAAACACTTAATATAGGATGACTGACAGAAAGACGACTGAGTATGGCTGAAGATTGTGAAGTTGTACAAACATAGCCTCCCACACCATTGTGGAGCTGTTTGAGTCTACCAGCAGGACCATAGCAAGATTTTAATATTCCACTTAGCAGAGTCAGTGACTGACTAACTGTACCTTTAGTTAAAGGTTCACTAATAAATAACGGAGGCTTTTTAGCTTCAAGACGAGACATTCTCAAATTGAGATTTTAATTCTGGCCAGCAAAACATATTTCATTTTTACTTGGATCTATAATTCATAGCACTTTTTTTAAATTTAAAGTAGTACATTTTAATTCTTTGCAGCCAAGGATTATTATTTTAAATGTGAAAGAGTAGATACGCTACAATAACAACATTTCTGTGACTGCTCATCATCTCCCTCTTAAAACGAGGATTAAATCCTATCGTGAAATTGGTACATAATGACAGCAATAAGCTATTTCATTCATGATGGTCTTCCTTTTTAGCTTCTGAATGTGATCGAACAGATTTTTTTGCAACAAAATTCACGAGCATGCTTCCAAAATGGAAACCTATAAGTGACAGTCCTGCCACAAGCAGAAAGTTCTTTCTACTCCAGCTAGCTTTCCTCATCTCTTCTTCCAGCAACGCTCACAGATGAAAAGCTTCAAAGCTAATTATACCTACAATAAAAAACATAAAGGTATTAGGATAATCTTACGACAATATTGCGTAACTTGAACAGCTATTTTATTTTTCACAAAAAACTCACATACGGACAAATACCAAACTATAATGATTTTTAATTGAGAAAACCCATTAATATTATATATACTATAAGCATATAGTACACAAATTATACGTGTTCGTTAATAACTTCAATTCTGACCACCAGTTTATATACTGTTTCACCTGTAGGCCTATACATAACAAGCCACTATAAACTGCATTTATTTATATGAATGTGTCAAAACTGTAGTGAGGTTAAGCTGTTTTCACTTGAGCACAAAAGAACTGAACTACTCAGTGCTGCTTCCCTGGCAACCACTTCAGAAACAAAAGCTTTTTCTTTAAGAACTAAACTTCAAGAAATCTCCACTTCTGAAAGAGAGGTTCCTTACTTCAAGATACCCAAGATATAAAATTCTTTTCAGTTCTTAAACACTTCAAAACTTAAAGGGATATTTTTATTTACATTTCTATGTAAATGTACAGTATTTAGGCTTCTCTCATACTTGAGTTTCTTTTCTACTGTAATGACCATCCCTACTAACAACGCAGAATATATTCCTACATAAAGTCACAATTATTTCTGGGCAGTTTTCAGCCTGAAAGGACATTTCTGCAGGCCCAGTCACAAGAGTTCGACTATTGCCTTGAAGTTATTGGAGTTTATTTTTAAATATCTTTAAGACCTATAATACCATCACTTAATTGATGGTGATTTAGTAGTAGTTTTTGAGATGTATGATGCATTTTTTGGGTCCATGTAACTATCAGATTAACTCAGTTGCAAAAAAAAGACTAGAACTCTGGAAGACTAAAGTCAGAGCAGCAAGACTGCATGTTAGAAAATTCTCATTTAATTGACTCATCTCCTGCCTCAAAGATACAGATATAGCTAATTAGGCAACTTACCCACAATACATAGCACTAATGCTATTTTTCGTTATTTTTGTGATCGCTTCGCATCACGTATGCCACAATCCCAGGTTCTGGAACAAAGTCCTCTGTCTTCACTTGGAAAATAGGACTGGACTTGATGTAAAACCACCCCCAGTGCACTAGCCCAAGGCTAGTTCCCATAACAATCAGAACTTTGTAGTCCTTCCAGATGGTTTTAAGACCCATTGCAAACTGGCATCTACCTAGGTAAAGATAATTTATTATTTTAAATATATTCTAGAAATCCTTCTTTTTACTCTATAATAATAGCACACAACAGATGAACCCAAATGTTAATATTTTAATTACAGCGCAGGAGATGATTAGAAGACAAAATGACACAAGAAAGTCTTACTTTGTGAACTCAGAGAAGAAAGCCTATAAAAATAGCCTCAATTCAGACATCTTGAAATGTTAAATCGCTGCATTTGCTTCAAGCTTTGGCATGCTAAATCTTAAAGCTTTGTTAGTTTATGTTTATCGAATTACAAATATTCCTGCTTCAGTGATAAATATTTGAAGTCTAAACCAAAGCAGTTTCAAAATACACCCTTTTTTCCCCCCCCAGTTAATAAAATTCAATGACTGAGCTCCTAACAACACGGAACTTCTAACCTGCAGGCCAAACAAGCCGCAATGCTTCTGACATCAGCTTACGTTGCCCAGAGTAGCAGCTATGCCTGCCTACCTTAGCCCTCTTCGCCCTTGATCTTCAGAAACTACAAAGTATCAGTACAAACGTAATAAATACGCCCTTGTCTAAAAAGAACGTGTAAGCCTCTACTTTCCATGGGATTTCATTAAGAATTACCAGCTACAGGGAAAAAAAGCGTGTACAGTCAGGTTTTATATCAAAATAACTTCTTGCTTTAAACAGCTACAAAGCTACAAGTCGGAGAGTAAAGGTTCCTGCGCCCAACTTCATCCTCCTGACAGGAGTAACGTGTCCCACTAACCCCCCCCTCCATAA